TCCCTCTTTCTCCTCTCATGAACTAATCCAAGGCCAATTTCAGATGCTTGCTCTTCTGTGAAGCTGCCCTTAACCCTTTCTTTCCTCTTCACTTTCTCCCTTGTTGCTTTTACCACTAGTTAATGGTGTTTAATATATGGACAAAATGGAATTACCTGGTTGAGAGGAAGCAGGATGACAACAGGAAGATTGTGAATGACAGATTGAAAGTGTAAAATAATAAAATCCACTGACATTTAAATCTGTCCTCACATGCATTATCTTCTCTGATTCCTACAATCCTGCTCATATGGACCACAGATTTTCTTCATTAGCCTCATTTATAAATAAAAAAACTGAAGCTCAATAAAGTTAAATAATTTGTCCAAAACCTGTACCTGGTATCACTAAGAGTTGAACCTATTCCTTCATTCTCATGCTTATTCATTCAATAAATATTTATGGAGCTACCACCATGTGCCAGCTACTGTTCCAAGTCCTGTGATGGGGCTGAAGAATACAGTGGTGCATTACAAAGTGGTATAGTATAATGTTACGAGATAATAGTGCCATGAAAAAATATTCTGCAGGGAGTGGACAGAGGGTGAAGTGGGCTTCTCTTTGAAATGTAGTAGAGATTCTATACCCTAAGTCCTGGTCTCAGTCCTCTGCTTCATACTGTAGACTCATATCACTGAAGAAAGCTGATGGTCACGAAATGTGGTATAGCACTTTCCTATTGCAAATGCTGCCCTGAGGTTGAAATGTGTGCGGTTGGGTACTAGAACACATCCAGTTCAGGTACCCCTCACAATCACAGGTCACGCATAGCCCCCCTTAAACTTCCACTAAGTCACACTGCCTTATTTAGCTTCACATGTAGACTGTAAACTTCTTGGAGTCAAGAATCACTTTGCACACAGTTGACAATAAAGATATACTGATAAATCAATTGACCAATTGATATACACAGTTGAAAGAACTGGAAGACTGTTCCCCTAATTCAATATTCACAAAGATTACAGTCAACTTATTGGAGAGATTCCTAAATCAATGGGGCCTCTCAAAAGTAAGCTCACCCCCTCGACCATTCCCTAAATCCAAGGTACTCCCCTTTTACACAAAGCCTATTTGGTAGCCCAGGGTCAATAGGACTCACTGGAAAGCCAGATCTGTCTAGGCTACAGTGTATAAGGCAGCCACATTGATTTGTGACATTTCTGCCTAGATGGTCCTTGTGACATTGCAGGTGTTAGGGGGCAGCAGAAGCAGTGTGAAGAAGAGACCAGCAAGGAGAAGGAATTAGGCCCAAATTATTAAAACCAATCCAAGGAGTTTCACCAGGGTAAGTGACAAAGACAAAATGAGTTCAGCTACTCTGAGTTATCCATTTAATTGCCCAAAGCATATCTCAGTCATGTTTTTATTTTTTTAAAAAGTTTTATTTACAGCACCATTAAACATCTTTTACCTTTAAAAGGTATATCTATGTGTACACATTACTGAGGGGTTCACATGCAATTAGTAATGAGTTATTTAAACTTTATATCTTAGAGTTTTAACAAATCCCTCAAATCTGAGAATTACGCTTTGGCAAAATTGCCTGGGAGGACAGAAGGAGAACGTTAAGCAACAAAACTCCACAATACAGTAACATAACCTCAGACCTCCAGGAAGAGGACACTCTCCCTTGAAAATCACCCTTTCTGGATTGTTCTCATTAGAATTCAGAGCAGGTTTGGTGTCTCTGGCCTGTTTTCATACTAAGAGGTGACAGTTGATCATGTAGCAAACCTTCAAGTTCCATGTAAACAGGGACAAAACACCTGAAAAAAGAAATGCCAAAAAATGGCACAATCGCATTAGCCAAACTCCAGATTAAGAAGAACATGTAGATTACATTGAGGATTATGGGCCCCGAAAGTTTTATTTGAGAAACAAGTTTTCCGGTTCAATAGCCTGATTTCTACCTGTGACTTATTCGAGTGTAAATATACACAGAAGCACAATAGTTGACAATTTATCCAGGGAGTGACAGAGCTACAGTGATCACTAATCTAAATTCAAAATCCAAATCAGGCCATGTTTCCTCATTTTTTCTAAAACAGCCTTTTTTTGCAATCTTTTACCACAAGGGTGTGAAAATCTATTTAAAAGCAAAATACTTTAAAATTAGGAAATATATTTTGCCCTCTCAGAGAAAATGGATGTGATTTGACAAAGGATAAAGTTAGTCATAAATGATAAAGAAGTTTTTAAACATCTGAACTTATCATTAGCACTAGCTGCTTACCAGGAACTAATAATAACAAGAAACATCATCAAGTTTAAATCTGATAGTTTTGACTATTAAGAAAAACTAAACACCTTAACCCCAAGAATCAGCTGTGCTGATAATTATCCAGTCTCATTTAGTAGTGACCCATCAAATTGAGAATATTTAAGAGTTGAAGAGATCAGAACAGAATAGTGAGATCAAAAGCTTTTTTCTTCATTTCATTCACTGTCATAACTCATCTGTATAGTACGATTTGTAAGGGTTTTTTGTTTTAAATAATATATTTTCTTTAAAGGCCCAAAGTTCCTCTGTAGAGATAACTGCAATTTTTATAAATAGGTTGATTTCACTTTTTAAAATATTTTTTAAAACAGCAAATTCTGCAGAATAAGTTATTAAAAGAATTATTGGGCTCTAGAAGGGTTTTAGTCAACAATGTCCCTGAACTACCCTTAGTTTTAATCAATGGTTCAAAACTCAGGGCAAAATTTTCCCCACAGGTATATGGCAATGTCTGGAGATATTTTTAGTTGTCAAAACTTGGGGGGATGTTACCACCATTTATAAATAGAGGACAAGGATGGTGTTAAATATCCTAAAATATACACAAAATGATCCCACACATCAGGACTCACCCACTTGAAAAATGTCAATAATGCCCAAGATTGACAAAACCTGATGTAAGCATCACAAAAGCTCTTACTAACTCACAGGGCAGCTGCCTTATTATAATACAAAATCGACCTCAGTGATTTCCTTAACATTCAAAGCACCCTTGAACTACCACTAGAGTTAGTCTAGCTGGTGGCAAAAAATAAGTAACTAAACATGGAAAATATTTTTCATTCTTCCTCAAATAATGTCTCCCTATTTTATTGATATTTCATCATGAAGTCAGAAGGATCTTTTTTTTTTCTGTCAACAGTGGAAACTGGCAGCCCTGTGGGAATTCATAATGGCTAAATATCATGAAGAAAAAAATTAACCTCTATTTCCAAAAACAGATTTGGAAGTTGGAAAATGAAGCAAACATAGTACTTCCTATAGTTGATGCTGAACTAATACAAAAAGGATTCTTTCTATAGAAACAGAAGGGCAATAGGCAAGGTAGAAAGTCATGTTAGCAACAGGAAACTGGTCCCTGATCTAACACACAGAGGATGCCATAGACTTTTAAAATTATGCTCATCAGTCTGGTACTAGAGTCTAGTCTTATAACCACTAGGTTCTGCTGCCTCACAGCTGTAGCACAGCAGAGAATTGAAAAAAAGGGGGAAAAGCACAGCCTCTGAAACCAGCTGTCTGTGTTCAAATCCTGCCAGTGCCAATTCATAGCCAAGTGAACTGGGAAGAGACTACCTTCTTTAGTAAAGCTAGTAAAGCTGCCCATGATTTCACTCCCCCCCCAAAAAATTATGTTTCATTCTTAAAAAGAAAAAAGAAGGAATTTTCTGGAACGAATCCAAGCACACAGGAACACCAACTTGAGTGGTAATATTTTCCTAATCTCAAAGTTGTTTTCAATCTATTACTCATCTGATGTTACTGACACGAAGAAGGGCTGATACAAAGGAAAAAATAAAACCCTTGTATTTTCTTGGAAGAATTAAATGGTAGGACAATTCAAGGGAGACTAAAGCCCAAGTGAAAATTCCATACAGCAAGCATCACAGTGCCAGAGGTGGCAAATGCAACCTCTCCAATCCAATACAAAATATTGCACTTAGCTTGTATGGACATTATTAAATGCACTCAGCCAAACTGTCTTAAAAAGGCATTATTTCACATTGACTCTAGTCCATAATTTGGTATGTTCGTAAGTTTCAATCAAGATATTTTTTCTGAGGGTAGATTTAATTATGTTGGAATTAAGTGCTTTTTCCTTTCCAGAAAATACTTTAGAGATTAAAGAACATTGTTTAGATGAAAACTAATATGCATTCCTTTAGCCAGTTGTACAAAAACTGTGAAATTATGTTTTCCCCTTAAATAAAGGCAAAATGATGGGAAATCATATTAGACCTTTGAATTTGGAGACAAATTTCTTTCTTTTTTTTTTCTAAGTGAGAAAACAGGATTTATGGAGAGGGAAGAAAATCTCCCACAGTGGGAGGGTAGGGGGCTGTCCTCGAGAGGCAAATTTCTTATGTGGTTTTGGCTAAGACATTTCAATCAATGTTTATGTAGTAGAGTTCAGCCCACATAATTCCATGGTGAGCTTCTTAGAGAATCCTCCGGTTTGTGTGAGTTTATGCCACACTTTTAATACTAAAAAAAGAAATGTCTTACTTTTACTCCCTTTTTAGCTTATAAAACACATATAACTAAGCCCAATAAACTTCTAGAGATAAAATATTTTTAGGCATTTTTCTATTTTTCTAATTCACAGTCACCTTAAACTCAGATAAATTTTCAAGGAATTTCCTATCCTATTGGTCATACCTGCTTATTTACGTTAGCCTTAAAATGTAGGGCTAAGAAAATTTTTTAATAATGTTTGTGCTGAAAAATGTGAATACAGTTTCTATTGTCAACTCAGCACTTCTTATAAAGCCTGTACAGATTCTAAACAGGACTTCACACCCTAAGAGATCATCATTTTCAGTCAATCTTGCAACTTATCAAAGAAGATACAGTGAGGTACCTCTTATTTTCGCATACTTATGAGACTGTTCTGATTTAAATACTGATGCCTAAACAATGTGTCAAATACATGGCAGATGTTTCTCTACTTCCAATGTAATTTGGTTATGGGTCTGAACTGGATTATAAAAAATTTATTTTAACTTGATAATATTGGTCAGAGATATAGAAGAAAGTTCTAAGTTCCTCAAAAACACATTAAAGGCAACAGTTAAATTAATTACCATTTCTCCCTTAGACATCAACTTTTCCATCAAGATACTAGTTGGCAGCTATAATAAATATTTTTAAATGTGTCTAATTAAAGAAAAGGCAGTCTAGCTTATTTATTTGGCAAGAATTAACACTCAATGTTATATATTCTCTTATCCCAGGAATACTCATTGTATTTCTGGTAAATGCTGCTTAGATCAATGTGAGCATATGAATGAAGACTCAAAAGAAATTTTGAAAAATAAGCAAATCATTATCAAAGCACTAAATGAAACAGTTCCAATTATATTGACCCTAAAAGACAGTTTATAAGTACGTGTGTCAAACTTAAGGAAGTTAAGGAACTCCCTCACTTCCAAGTGAAAAAAATGTATTATATATTTAAACATTTGAAATACGCTATAGCTGTATTTTAGTTCACAGCAGAAAGTAAACATTAGTTTTCTCTCAGCTCACAAAATTAAGAGATGTTCAAAAATCATTTTCTCTTCTTCTTCCCCTACTAAACTCTACCTCATCTGATGTATTGAGAACATCTTCTACCTTAACAAGTGTTTGCTTTATATTTATACAAACATGAATCAAATAAAAAGATAATTCTGCCATGAATACCTCTGCCATGAATACTATAAAAGAAATACCTCATTTATGATCTTCAAATGGAAAAAATACAGCTATCATGGTAATTCCATTTTTTCAATGTATTTAGGCTACAAGGTCACCTGAGAGTTAGCTAGAAGTTCTAATCAGTTTAAAATAAAGAACTTCTCTGAATACTGTGTCCACAGTCATTGAGTCCCAGTCTCCAATGTCCCTGATATATACACTAGTACAGTTTGCTTTAGAAATGCATGTTCAAGCTAAAACTGTTGAAGAGCAGCATGAGACACCCCAGGGAAATGGGAAGGGGTTATCAGTCATACAAAAATTAACACACATGTTCAGCTAAAATCTCAAATGGCCAACCCGAAGTGAACACAAAAAGTGCACACTGCGTGCAATTATAGTCCAACCCACAAAGTTCCTTCCACAAGCCAAGTTAGTGGTTCCAAAGTGCCTTGTCTATACAGTCTGATTATGTGGGTACCAGATTAAAAATGTGTGCTGTTGACATAACATTGGTCCTCCTGAGTTTTGTTAATAACTTGTCTGTTGCCACTCAGATAGCCGTCCAAAGACACTTCAATGGCCACTTCTGTTGCGTCTCTTCTACTTAGGCCATCACTTCGGTATGTGTCTAAAGGGGGCCTGCCATTGTGCTCAGCACAGCCATTGACATGAGCCAGAGGCAGTGCCCCAGGGGGACAACACAGCTGTTTAGCACAGCCTTTAGAGATGCAGGGTGAGTTGCAGAGCAACAATAAGTCCTTCTCCTCCAGGGGTTCCTTCAAGTCCACATTTTCAAACTGGATGGTCACATTGTGGATTCCGGCGTTGTGGAAGATTTCTCGAATTTTTATGCTGGCATCCTGATATCCCCTGTCCTTCTGATACTTGATGTGCAGGGTGGCAATAATCTTTCCACTTACAAGTTCCCAGATGTGCACTTCATGTACACTGCTAATTCCGGGCACAGCAGAGAGTTTACTCACTAGAATTGAGAAGAGTAAATAAAAGCTAAGGTGAGTGCCATATTTGAAACATGGTTTTACATGAGGGATTATGGTCCTTTAAGCATTCTCACCAAAATTGCTGTGTGTTTACTAAGAATAATGGGAAGAAAAAGGAGGTGTGGTGGTTCACACCCGTAATCCCAGTGCTGTGGGAGGCCCAGATAGGAGGATTATTTGCGACAAGGAGTTTGAGGCCAGCCTGGGTAACACAGCAAGACCTCACCTCAAAAAAAAAGAAAATAAAATAAAAAAAGAAAAGGAAGAAAAATAACCATACTTTTTGGGGTACATTTGCCCATAATCTTCTTTCTCCTCTCTGATTTCCCATACCACACTTTGTTAAGTCTATACAAAGTCATCCAAGAAAATAAGTTTTACAACAAGAAGAAAAAAATCCCCAGGGCTGTTGAATATATGCAGAAATGGGCACTCTAGTAGACTTCTAGGAGGAGCATAAAGTGGAATGCCTTTTTGTAAAAGGGATAATTTGGCAATATGAGTCAAAAACTTTTACCAGAAATTCTAGTACTAGGAATTTATCCTAAAGGAAATAACCAAATGCTTTATTATAAGAATGGTTTGGGTAATGCTCTTTGCATTAAGGAAAAAAATGAAAATAACAAGGATATAGTTAAGTCAATTATGTAATGGAATATAATTCAGCTGTTTAAAAGTTAGTTGCATATTTAAGGATATGAAGAATGTATGCATAGCATTTTTAAGCGAAAAAGGTATGATCTTTCTTTTTACAGTGTATATAGAAGAAAATAATAATGGTGGTAATTTTCGTGGTTGAATTATAAGAGATTTCTAATTTCTTATTTAGGCTTTTCTGTATTTCCTATACTTTCTAAAATGAGTGTGTATTTAGAAAGATGGTATTGACTAGTGATTAGGAGCAAAGACCTTGCAGCCAGCTAGAGTCTAAATCCCAGTTTAGTAACTTTCTACCAGCATGAACTGAGGAAATTTACCTACATTTTCTATGCCTCAGTTTCCTCATCTTAATATTAGGAATGATGATAATAGTACCCTATAGTATTATTTTAAGGATTAAAATGAGTTAATAGTACTTACACATGTAATAAGTAATATAATAAGTGCCATAAAAGTATTGCTATTGTTGTTAATGTTTTTTAAAAAGATCTGTTTTAAATATGTTTATGTGACTTTATTAAGAGGCATACCTGGTATATATCACAAATTGGTTTGCATACATTTACCTTATTTCCTGAAATGGGAAACAGCTAGCTCCTGGGATGGCAAAGACAATGTTGTGTGTCTACTCCTCTGTGTCTTCTTCCCCTCCCACCACCTGCTCTGCCTGCAGCATCAGGCAGTGTTATGAGAGATGTAGTGATTTGCACGCTCATAAAAACCAGTTAACTAGAAAACAGGGTCTAGAACATCAATGACTCTTGTTTTCAGAACAAGGAGAATAAAAATAAAGTTCTTGACAGAAATTACCGTATCTGAGTTAAATAAATCTTTGCCATGAAGGTAAGCAGCCTAGAAATTGGTATTACCCAAGCATTACATTCTCAAAAACTTGTAGTTAAGTCAGAAAATCGTGGATTGCAAACAAACTTTGGTTCTTGAAGCTGTGAGTCATCTTATTAGGCTACAAAACATATGACGATGTCTCTATCATCTGGTGATTTAAAATATTTCAGAATACATAACTCAAACACTGCTCTGAACTAACGCTGGACCATTGACCTGAATAACACTAAACCAAGAGTGGTTCTAGATCAGAAGCCAGTCTACTTACTCAGCTCTTCCATGTTGACTCCTTTGGGAACCATCTGCAGCAGAATGGCAGCGGTCTCCTTGATGAGTGGGAAGGCAGATGACAAAATTATGATGACCATGATTACTGTCAGGCTGGGGTCAATGTAGCACTGCCAGTTACATGGGTCCTCAGACTTCAGGGGAAGCACATAGAATATGATGGCCGTGATGACCACAACCACGGACCCCAGGGCATCTCCCATCACATGCAGAAGTACACCTGCCAGGAAGAAAGAAAGGCTAATACATTATAGATCCAAGTTTGGAAGCCATGTGACCCTCAATGACTCAGATTCCCAAGTATGTGAATACTTGTTGCTATTCGTTTTCTTTGGGGTTAGAACAGCAGGACGGATCAGAATGAAAAAATAATGGCAACTGCTTCTCAGTAAACAAAACCTCAGGCTACCATCTCAGGACTCAGAGAACCTGAGAAGAGGAACAGCCCAGGAGGATTCTGACCAAGTAGGTCACCTGTAGAAGAGTGACTATGGCATTTCAGTGCCACATTGCTACCACTCACCATCCATCAAAGGGCACCACACCAGAAAATAGAGGCTGTAAAAATGATTTTTATTTCTTTCAGACAAGTGTCTGTGCTTTAAAATGTTTTAAACATTTTTAAGAGGAGGGGGAAGTAAGATCTTTCAATAGAGTAGTTCTTTTAATTCTTTGTCTTCCCTATACCCTAACTCATCTTCTCCCTTCTCTAGAAGTATTGATCTACTTCTCACTCAGTCAGTGGTCATTGAAATGGTATTTGGCTGCATGATATTCCATTGCATATATGTACCACACTTGTTTTATCCAGTCCAGTTTCGTTGTGCAGCTATAAAGAAAGACAAACATATGGACTTTGCCACAACTTGGATGGATTTAGAGTCTATCATACTCAGAAATCTGTCACAGAAACAAAGAAGAGAGTACCATATGCTCTCACTCATAAGCAGACCTTGAACAATTATAATACTGTAGGAAGTGGATTGCCAGTAGTGGGAAACTGCCAGGGGAACAGGGGTAGGACTGACAGTAGTGGGAAACTGCCAGGGGAGGGAGGTCACACCTCTTCAACAAGGTACCTGCATAATGAATATTTGCATACCTAATCCTGAATTGTACCCCACATCTTTAAAATCAAAAATTTTTTTTAAAAAAAGAAATGGTATTTGGTTTAAAATGGCCTCACGAACAGGGACTCCAGCAATGTGTCCACTGCATCAAGAGCCATTTATTGACTGGGCCGGTGGCTCAAGCCTGTAATCTCAGCACTTTGGGAGGCCGAGGCGAGAGGATTGCCTGAGTCCAGGGGTTTGAGACCAGCCTGGGCAATTTGGTGAGACCTCATCTCTACAATAAATCAAAAAATTAGCCAGGCGTGGTGGCACGTGCCTGTGGTTCCAGCTCCTTGGAATGCTGAGGAGGAAGGATTGCCCGAGCCCAGCATATTGAGGCTGCTGTGACCGTGAGTGTGCCATTGCACTCCAGTCTGGACGACAGAGTGAGACCCTGACTCAAGGAAAAAAAGCTATTTATCACAGTGAAATAAAATTAAAATTCTATGGATAATAATAAAAATTGTGGGTGACTTTAATTAAGGAAATTGTTCCTAAAGGTATTTATTATGATATAGAAAACATGCAATCCTCAGCAAAGAGGATCTGGGTGCCCAACTGTTTATTAGACATAGACAATTGGAATTTAGTAAGTAAATTAGGCGAAATTTTGACCAGAAGAATTATAAAGTACAAAGTTTTTTTTGTTTGGTTTGGTTTTTTACCTAAAGCAACATCAGAATCTTGACACTGAAAGTGTGGTTTGCAGACCAGTAGCAACATCACCTGGGAGCTTGTTAGAAATGCAGACTCTCAGGCTCCACCTCAGATCTATAGAATCCAAATCTTCATTTTAATAAGACCCCCCAGGTGATCTGAAAGCACTAAAAGTTTCCAAAGCACTGTTCTAGAAGAAAGGTTTGCTTTGTCTTTCCATGTATTCCACAGATTCATTCAGTAGGATTAATAATAATCCATATTACTAACAACTCACTCACGGCTAAACTAAACAGTCTCACTTGGAAGGTGCTTTTTAATTGGGCTAATTCCTCCTCTTGGCAACACTTCCAGGATTCTGAGTAACATCGGAGGTAAAATGCCATTCTGTAAACATGCTAAATGTAATCTGTGGTAACTTTCCCCCCATAATAATACAGGGATCAAAAGAATCCTCGCATTTCCCTTTGGCTAAGTGTTTAATTACAGTAATAGGACACCGATTTGACATACATTAAGCTATCACCATTTTCGTTTTTGTTGTTGTTTTTTTGTTTGTTTGTTTTGGAGTAATTCTCTCTTATTTAAATTTTTTATTTTATTTTAAAGATGTGGAGTACAACTTAGGGTTAAGTATACAAATGTTCATTATGCAAGCACCCTTGTTGATGAGGTGTGCCCTCCCCCCACCTCACCCCTGCAGCTTCCCAGTGCTGCCAATCCCTTTCCTCATAGTATTATGATAATTGTTCAAGGTCCGCTTATGAGTGAGAACATGTGATATTCAGCTCTTCGTTTCTATCACCATTTTCTAATGCTGTGTCCCCTTCATTCCCACTCCATCCCCAAAGCAGCTTCTTATTCCCCAGTCCCTGTCCTGAGCCACAGAACGGGAACTCAAAACATTCCCAAGAGTTGGTCTATACACTATCAAAACTTTAACTTTATTCAGGATAGTACAAAATGCTACCATAAAAATAGAAAATCATGTACCTATATGCACATGACATCATTCTCATTGCCTGAGACAGTCCGCTATTCTGATTCATGCATATTAGTCTTATTTCTCCATAAGTAGCATGAGGGTCAGCATCATACCCTAAACTTCCTTTGTTTGTATTATAGCACTGGAGGCGTGCAAAGCAGACATTCAATAAAACAGTATTTTCTAATTGATTAAGCCATAAATCCTATGATACAGAACAAATCCTGAATTATATTTAATAACAACAATAATTGTAATGCTAACTAACATGTATACACCAAGCACTGTTTTAAGTGTGTTACATATATTTACACAGTAAGTTCTCTTAAGGACTCTGTAAGGTAGTCACTCTTGTGAATATAAGTAATTATTGCCAATATAATTATTTATTTTCACTTTCAAGATCTAAGCTGTTGGATCAGCTTAAATATCCATCAACGGAGGATTGGGTTAAAAAAATGCTATAGATAGATGATAGATTAGATAGACAGATAGATAGATATTCCATGGAATATTACTCAGCCATTAAAAAGAATGAAATTATGCCTTTTGCAGGAACATAGATGGAACCAGAGGCCATTATCCTAAGTGAAATAACTCAGAAACAAATAGTCAAATACCAGTGTTCTCACTTATAAACAATGAGTACTCACGGACACACAAAGTGAAATAATAGACACTGGAGACTACAGAAAGTGGGATGGTGAAAGGGCTTGAGGGTTGAAAAAGTAAATATTGAATACAATGCTCACTTCAGGTGATGGGTGCACTAAATGCCTAGATTTCACCACCAAGCAATATATGCATGTAAGAAATCTGCCTTTGTATCCCCTAAATATATAAAATTTTAGTAAATAAGTAAATAAGCTGTTGAAACTCAATTATTTTGAGCTCTAAAGGAATGTGAATTAAGGGCCCCGAGTCACATGACAGGTAGCTGAAAGCTTTTGTTTGTCTAAATTAAGTCCTCTCCCTTACCCGCATTGTTCTATAAAATGTTGTAAATGGTAAAGAGAACCAGGGAAGACCCCAACCCTCTTACTGTTGACTTTCATTATAGATTAACCTCCTTCTTACCTTTCTCACACAAGACATCATAGCTATCACAGTGAGTTAAATGTTAAATACACTCTTTTAAATTGGAAAGAAATGAAAACCAGTTATAGAGAAGACACATGGAAAAGAAAATACATTGTAACTAATTAATTTGCTGTAACTCCTAAGCCAGATAGAAAACACTGTAATCCTGTTAAATTTCCTGTCCTCTTCCTGTATAAGCAAGAATTTCACCTTTAACTTCAGAGCATTATCCCCATTTCTCTGGAGTGATACATCCTGGAATGGCCATTCCCAGATTTTCACTTGAATAGACTATAAAATTGGAACCTGACCCTTTTGATTATTTCAGGTTGACACAATCTTCATTTTACAATGAGGAACCTGAGGCACAGAGTCGCTAAGAAACTTGTCCAAAATCACACAGCTAGAAAGGGTTAAACGACTAGAGATCTACATCCTGCCTCCTAGAGATACTAAATTCCAATTTCAGCTTTTCCTTCTCAGAAATCTCACGATTAGCCCCTAAAAATTATTTCAAAGAGTAGCTTTCAAATTTGTTTTTCCAGAATTCACGTTAAGAATTTTGTTCTGCATCCTAGCACATACACAGAAACAAACTGGAACAAATAATTCATGATTCATGAGAAAGTAAAACCTACCCTTATATAGGATTTATCATTATCTTACTCCATTTCAATTACAATAAATTTTCTAAATGCTAATCAAACTCTACTAAATTGATCCTAGACCCCAAAGTGCCATGACCTTCAGTTTGAAAAACTGCTTAAAGCATCATCCCCCTAAATTCCTGAGATTTAATGATGCAATGTGTTTTCTAACCACCCATGCAAAGATGAAGAAGGCATGGTCATCGTTAACCACAGTCCTGGCAGGATTCTGAGATAAGTGCATTAGCATCCTTCTGGAGGAGGAAGAGGGTCCTCCCTGATGAGATATCTCCGGAAGGCTTGTTTAAAGGTAGATGAGTTGGGCAGGACTCTGAAGAGAATACAGACTTCACCAGTAGTCAAAAGAGAAGTCATTTCAGGCCTGGGCAGGAAAGTGAGACTCCAACTCAAAAAAAAAAAGAGAAGTCATTTCAGACAGAGAGGACTCACAGGAGGCCAAAATGGAGCACACACTTGTCAGGCAATTTGGGGGGGCTGATGGGCTAAATTTAGACTCACAGACTCTGACACTGTAACTATGAGCCATGGCACCTAAAAATACCAACTTCTCTGTGCAGAAAGATTCACAACTGTGAATCTCTCACTTCCCCAGAGGCTAGTTCTGAAAAATATATAAAACAATGTCTGAAAACTCCTGAGGACTGACCAGGAAGTGATGATAATAATAGGCACCATTTGTTGAGTGGATCCTCTGTGCTGTCCCAACCACACATGCGATCCTCATAACAACACAAGGGTGTTGGTATTATTATCTTCATTACGTAGATGAGAAGACTGAATCTCAAAGAAATTATGTTATTTGTCCAAGGTCACCTAGTTAGTAAAAGGCAGAGGTAGAACTCAAACCAGGCCTGCCTGACCACAGGATCTAAGCACTTCTCACATCACTATGGTTGTGCACTCAATGTTGAGGGGCATGGGGGGAGATGGTGAAGAGCTAGTGGGGAAGGTAAGGCCATGAAGGGGTGAAGGGAAGGGCAGAAAAGTCTAGAAAGAAGTATTGGCACCAGAGCAGCAAGCCCTTGAATGTCAGCAGTGTTTAAACTTTATTCTAGATGCAGTTAAGGTTCTGAGCAGACTCTGATGTGTTCACAACTATGATTCAGAAAGATAAATCTGGGAGCATTATCTAAGAGACAAAGATCACCACTTAGTAGACAACTCAATCACCTGATTAGTCACAAAGCTTTCAAGGTAGCTTTGCAAAGACAGGAAACCTCTGCACTTGGCCCTCACTTGCTATCTTTAGAGAAAAACTAAATTCTCCCAAATTGGCATATAACATGAAAGAGCAATTTGACCTAAGTTGAAATTTGATGTGTTCCAGCACTTTGAAAAGCCCTCATCCTGTTGAATTTGTTGAATAACTGAAAACAGAGTGCATTCACATAGGGCAAATGGTTATGAAAGGATGAGAACTTTCTTATTAGAAGAAAATCAAAAATTATAAAGAAAAATCTTATCAAAGAAGATTTACTTTCAAGGGATGTCAGGATTGCTATTCATCTATTTATGCTTACACCAAAATAAAAGGGGTGAATTGTCCTTCTGACACACTGCTACAGCATTTTAATGTAGCATCTTTGATCCCATTCAATAAAATTGACCACTACAAAGCACACTGATGAGAATGTTAAAAGGATTGTGCTTTCACTGTACTTTGCAGTAGAAGATGGAATGTGTTTCTCAGAACTCCTTTTTTATTCCCAATGGAATAAGAGAAACAATAATGAAAATCAAATGATTTTTGTTCACAGGGATCCCTATCAGGTGTTTCCTCTGCATATGTAAAGCAGACAGTGCAGTCCTGTTTTCTATAGCAGTTGCTTAAATGTTAGAAACATAACCATTCAGTGGACTGTGTATACTGGAGAAGCAAGCCATCCCTGACTGGAGTCTAGGCAGTGTGTGACAATAAAAAGAGCCAGAAATGTGAAACAGGAGCCCAGGATCCCAGTCCTGCCTCTGCTGCTAGCCAGAGTATCTTGGGGAGGTTGCCAAAATCTCTGGACCCTGTTTCCTCATCTGTAAAGTGAAAGGTTGAAGTCCATTTTCTCTAAAGTCTTTCCAGTTCTAACATTCTGTGGTCTTTTCCTGAACTGTAAGACAAGGACACAGGGCCTAAGGTGAGGCCAGTCTCATACTTAGCCCAAAATATGGAAAAGCTCCAGGAACTCACAGAAAAGCATCAGCAATGATCTGAGCTAACCCTTAACTGAAGCAGTGTGGGTTGGAACCCAGCAATTCCACCCACTACTTAAATGACAACATTATGCACCTCATTAGATTGGTGTGATTACCAGTTGATTAATTCATGAATGGCTCCTGGCCCAAACTATGCCTTCAATAAAAATATTAGCTGGATTTTCTACTTTAAGCCTAAGCACGTTACATGTTCTATTTCACAGCAACATCATGAGGTAGGTACTGTCAATATGCTCATTTTAAAGATAAGGGAACCAAAGGTTTAGAGAGGATCAACAATGTGTCCAAAGTCGTATAATTCTTAAGTGGCAGAGCCAGAACCCAAGCCCAGGCAGCTTAAAGTAAAATCCTAGTTTTCAGCCACTACACTATTCACCCCTATCTGAAGCTAAAGGTGCACTTTTGTCAGTACCTGTGGACCAAGGGCTCAGCCAAGTATAGTAAAGTATTCTACCATTGACATTTTTCCATTGAGGAACTCCAATAACTTTGGACTAAAATTTAACAAGATCATACAAGTTTCTCAAACATGGCCAAAATAGGTACCGGGGCCTACTGTTCATTCTTCTTTGCTTCTTTCCACTTACCTATTCTCTACCTCAACTTTGTAACATAATAATGAAGATGATTAACAGAACTTGCTTTGAAAAACTAAAGTACTCTGAGGGTTAACTCCACCTTAAAATCCTTCTGTGTGTGTGTGTGTGTGTGTGTGTGTGTGTGTGTGTGTGTTTCTAACTGAACCTAAAAAAAGAAAGATAAGATAAACGAAAGGATAATGATTTTTTATTACAGATTCTCTCTTTCCAAAAAGATTCACCACCCAGCTCTTTTAAAAAGCAAATTCCCTTGTTGCATTTAAATTTTCTTTAAGTTATTTAGAAATTTTTAGGAGCTCATGTATTGTTATTGATGTTGTTATTTCTTACTTTTTCCCATAGGTCCATTCTGAGAATCCCTTTGTAAAACAGATGTGAAATTTTCAAAAATGAAGATGTGTCCTGAATTAATAGTTGTTCTTGATATTATGTCCATCTAAGCATCACTACAAGCTTTCCCTACACCCTATGAAGGTAAAAGGTTGCTTAATCCTTATTGAAATTCTCAAAGCCAAGACTAAGGATTAATCCCTTCTGGTATCACTCTGAAGCAAAGTCTGTGCCCAAGAAGTCAGAAAGGAGAGACGTTGGATACGGTGGTGTCCAGTAGAAACATACCTCAGAACCCCCTAGGCTGACTTTAGCCCAATGCTTCTGATCTTGAACACATGGTGAGGAGAATGCTAGTTAGATACCTACCCTAGGCCTCATCAGAACCCTCACCTTGGGCCTGGAAGTAGAGGTTTTAGTGAACCAACAGTCCCTTTACAAAAGCAGATTTCTGGCAGAAATAACACTGATGTAATAGGGTCATTCAGCAATGCAAGACAGGGCATAACCTTGGATAGCAGCTCAACTACTTCTTTCTTGCCTTAAACAAAATCACATTCCATTAAAATAGGCTGCACTGTATGTTAGCAATATCCATGAATGGGTAAAAGCAAATAAAGTATAACATGACAGATATGTGGAGCTCTAAAGCAAGCAGCATTAGCATGGGTCTAAGTGGAGCAAAGATAAATCATTAGCAACTAGTTTCTCTCTTAGGATCGATGCAGTGATTAGGCAAGAGACTGGGGTCATAGTCTATGCAGGTAACTGGCCTACTTTCAAGCACACTGTTGCCTTATTAAAAGTCAGAAATGAACAGTATAGTCCACAAATGACCCTGAAAGGAAGTTTCAAATAGGCTCAAAGTCAACCCTACCTCTGATATTCAGGGCTTCAGATTTTTTCTCCTTTTTCATCATCTCTTCCGGCTCATTCTGGGTGTTCAAGGAATCACCTGCATTCAAAGAAGAAACCTTGTGTTGTGTATAAGTTCTACAAGCAAAAAAAACCAATAGACTCAAAATAAAGTTTTGTTATTTTAAATTCCTACTAGTTTATGGGAGACCCTACTTCTACACACACCCAGCCCAGAACAGTACATTTTGGCCTTGAAATAGCCTTGTGATCCACCTTTGGACTTCATTCACACTTCAAGTCAAAACAAAAAAGATGGCGAGTGGGAGCCCACCCCCACCCCCAAAACCCATAACACCCAAGGGGAGAGAAGAATAGTCAAAGGGGGAGGAAGAAAAACAAAGTTCAGATAGCAACCAACGAAGGGGAGGCGGCATTGAGGAGTGCGATCTGTTACCCAACAATGAGGACTGATTTCCAAGAAAATCAGTACTCCTATACACGAGAGAAGGGGGGAAGGGAAGAGGCTAGAGGGAATCGAGCACCCAGGAGAGGAAAAAATCATGGAGAATATGCTAGTTAGCAGAAGAGAAGTAACGCGGGACTGTAAACAAAATGGATTAAAATTTAAAAACAAAAACAGCAGGCAGAAAAAGAGGGTGTGGTGTGAGAAGAAAGGGACTGGGTAGGAGGAGGAAGGAAGGGCGGCGCGGTCCAAAAGATACAACCGAAAGGCACCTGCTACGTTTGAGAACACGGTCGCCCCCTTCTCCTGCTTCCTTTCGACCGAGGCTCCCCGGAAGGTCACGGCCGAGTCCGAGCCGGGCCCTGTCGGGGTCTCCGCGCGCCGCGGGTCCTCAGCGCTCTGGGGCCCCCCGAAAGCGCCGCGGGTGCCGGCCTCGGCCAGCTGCGGCCGTTGCAGGTGGCGGCGGCGGCGCCCCCGGCCGCAGCAGGCGAGCCAGGCGGCGCAGTCCTGGAAGATGAGCAGCCCCACCACGTTGACCGCCAGCCCCAGGGCGCCGACGATGAGCACCAGCTCGGGGTCGTCGATGCGCTCGGGCCGGGCCAGGCGCAGCACGGCCTCCACGAAGATGGTGAAGCAGAGCGCGGTCAGGAAGACGGCGTTGCTCAGCGCGCCCACCACCTCGGCGCGGGCGTAGCCGTAGGTGGCTCGGAGGCCACCGGTGGGGCGCCGGGCGATGTAGCCGGCGCTCAGGCCCACGCACAGCGAGATCAGGTCCGAGAGCATGTTGAAGGAGTCGGAGAGCAGCGCGATGGAGTTGCCCAGGTAGCCCGAGACGAGCTCGGCCACGAAGAAGGCGACGGTGAGCACCAGCATGAAGAGCAGCCGGCACGTCTTGCCGGAGTAGCGGCCCATCTCCGCAGCCGGGCGGCCCCGGCCCCGCGCCTCCGGCCCCGCGCCGCCCCGGGAGCCGGGCGCGCCCTGAGCGCAGCGCGGCCGCCGCAACAGGTGGGGGCGCGGCGCGGCGCGGCGCGGCGCGTCGGCGCGGACTCCACCGAGGCCCGGTACCCGCCTCCCGGGCTGTCCCGCCGGCCTTGCCCTGGCGCTTTTTATAAGGCGGAGAGAGCGTCCCCAGTCTCCGCACGTCCAGAGTCTAAAGGAGTGGCCGCGGCGGCGGTATCTGAAAAGCCCGTACGCCGCCTCCCTCGCAGCCTCGGCCTGACTTGGCAGGTGGCCACGCGCCAATGTCTCTCCTGCTGGACGGATCTAGGCAGAGAGGGGAGCCGCGGGGGAGAGGGGGCGTGTCTGGATGTCAGTCCTCACGGACAGCCCCCCACCACTACCCATGCAGAGGTGGGCTTCCCCCAATGACACCGCTTCTTCAGGTCCTCTGGGTCGCCCGAGTCCTGTTGACTCAGCGATAAGGACCTTGTCTGCTGTGGGGTGTGTTCGCGGTGGTGGACGTGGACACCTTCACATACGTGTCCAGACACAGCTTACAGTACAGTTTCCATATTAACCCTGTGCAAGGCCCAAGAGCACTCACTTGGGTCTGTCCTGCCCTGAAGGGGGCTTCCTGCATTTCATCTCGTTAAATGTGAACACAGACCTCACTCAGGCCCCCACCCTCATTCCACTACACTCTTGGTAAAGCCATTTTACCCTCTCTTCTTCCTCACAGCCATTATAAAGGGTGCGTGATCTTCCTGTCAGGCCCTCACAGCGCAGTATCGTCCCTTCAAGATCTTCAAGGCCAGGGCCTCCTTTCCCAGGTGAACCGCAGGCAGCCGTCAGGAGAGCATAGATCTCACTTTTGTAAGCATGGCAGTCTCACCTACACTCAAAGACTGTCTACTCTGTGGTAGACACAAGTTTTCATGGTCACCAAAGAAATAAGGGCTGGCCTTCTCTGTGTACTCTTCTCATTTTCCAATGAAGAGAATATTCTACTCACCCCATATGTCCCTGGCTGCATGATCCGATACTCCCAGTTCAATGGACTGACCTACATGAAGAATTTTTCCAAATAAGACTTTTTTGTTGATAACAGGTTCTGTCCCAGGTAAAAATTATCCAGGGAACTGTCTCTTGGACTCTGGGAGAGGCTGAGGAAGAGACCCTTGAAGAAGGGTGTTTGCTGTAGGTCAGTTGGGGGGAGAGGTTTGCAGTTTTCTTTATTGATTTGGTTTGTTTTGAAGGTGAAGTCTGATCACCTCTATTCTCTCTCCCCCATCCCCAACCCCTGTACTTTAACCATTCCTGGGGGGAAAAAAATCTGGTTTTGGCTTGGAAATGAATTAAATATCTCACTCAAAAAAACAGAAACAACAAAAACCCCCACAGAATCCATTAGTAGAACATTCTAATTTCTAGCCCTATTCATTTTCTTTACTTTGTAAAACATAACCTTGTCTTTTAACGATCTCTGAGTGTCCCTAGCAGTCATGCTAAATGCTAAAGCATCTTTGATCTGAGGGTCCCATCATATAACCTTCAAATTCAAGGAGCTTATTAAATATTTCCACCCCCAGGAAAATATCCCTCTACTGAGAACTTAAGAAAATTGATCATTTAAAGTATTTCTAAGAACTGATATAAACATGGGTGATAGTGGAATGAGGTTGGGGGCCTGAGTGATGCCTGCGCTCACATTTAATGAGATGAAAACCAGGAACCACCCTTCAGGGCAGGACTGACTCAAGTGAATGAGTGATCAATAATGTAGAAGAAGAAGATACAACCTGAGGAAAGATTTGAAGCTGTCTAGCCTTGGGCAATTTCCTTAATCCTCTGGGCCTTTTCCACTACTATAAAATAGGAATAATAATAGTATAGCGAAGATTAAATGAGGTAATATGTGTAAATTGCATACAACAGTGCCTAGTACAGAGTAAGCACTCAATAAATGTTAGCTGTTACTGCTACCATTTGTATTAGTACTAATACACATGCATAATAGAATTACTATTGGACAATAGCCAACACACTCTAATATACAATCGAGATATGCAAGAGTACTGTACTCTTTCCAGATTCCAGCTTTTACTGTCTTCAAACTGAAACCTCTGAAACATTTAACAGACGACAGCAGGCAAATCAGTCAAAATAAGTGAGCGAAGTCTTGTGGAACTCACTTGACAGGCTAAAGCATTCCTTGATCATGGTATTTGTCATTCACAACTGAAAGAAAAACCTGAAATCGGCAGAAATATATCCCTCAAGCATATTGCCCAGTCATTCTCCTAACCCAAGGCAGATAAGGGTTATGTACTGCCCCAGGAGTACAGTGACAGAACTAAACAGCCAGTGGCTGAGGAAACAGAGGAGGGAGCTGTAAATGTCTGAGTCCCCCTACTTGGGGCCCCGTTCTTGACTTTAAAGAGGAATAAGTGTTGCCGGATGGTGTCACCAAAATAAACTATAGGAAAATGTTTTGACTAAATCTACATGCGCACACACATACACATGCACACACACACATACTGTGTGATATGTAATCTAAATTAACTGATAGAAATGCAGACTGCATCTTACACTTTACAGTAAATTATGAGGTTTCAATAGCTTTTGTTTATTGAGCTCTTACTCTGCTCAACCCCGTACTAGCATTTTACAAGTATCTCATTTCATCCTCACAACAGCCCCATACAATAAGTACTATTTTGCAGGTGAAGAACCTGAAGCCCAGAGGTTTTCAGTAACTTGCCCAAGATCACACCATCTGTAAATGATAGACTTGAGGTCTGAACTAGGCATCAGGCTCTAGAACTGACATCATCCTTAACCCCCAGATTATACTGATTTGATCATTTTTAACACTTGTTCTAAGCCAGTGAAAGAATTTTTAAAGTTCACTTTGCATTGGTGCAAAACTTAATGTGTTATAATTAATAAATTCAGAGATTATGACACTAGAAATTATTTCTACATTGGTATTTGACCCAGAAATTAACAACCCTTTTTTTTAGAACTTGAAAAGTCATCTTTTTTTTTTTGAGTTGGTGTCTTACTCTGTCACCCAGACTGGAGTGCAGTGGCATGCTCACGGCCACCTTAGCCACCCCAGCGTCAACCTGCTGAGCTCAGACGATCCTTCTGTCTCAGCCTTCCAAGTAACTGGAACTACAGGCGCATGCTACCACACCCGGCTAATTTTTTTATTTATTGTAGAGACGAGGTCTCACCAAGTTGCACAAGCTGGTCTCAAATCTCTGGACTCAGGCAATCCTCTCCCCTTGGACTCCCAAAGTGCTGGGATTCAGGCTTGACCCACCGCGTCCAGCACTTTGTTTTCATTTTTAATTCTACTTGACAAGAGAGAATGTTCCCTTCAGCGAAAAGAAGGGATATTTTGTCCAAAGCACCAACTTTTTATTCAAAAGAAGAGATGCCTTTTTTCCCATAACAACAGCCTCCAAATCTTAAATATATCATCAGAAGATGGAGACTTCATTAGCCCAACTCCAAACACACAGAGCATAAAAAATGTGAAGACTTTACAGAAGGAAATATCTTCTTCAGATAGCTGAGGAATCTTGTATACGCAGTTCACTGGTAAATTTCTAATATGTACAATTATAGCACTTTAGCTGTACAAAGGTAGTTTTTATACCCCCAAATTATGCATTTCGACCCTCCAAGTTTTTCAGACGACACTATACCTAAGAGCTTCTTGATTTGAGGTGATCATTCCTTTTTTTTTTTAAAGATAGAGGCATGACATGTGAAAAAGATTAAAAACGAGGTAGTGGTCAACACTACTTTGAATGAGTTGTTGACAAAGCAGAAATACTCAGCAGCACTGTGAGTTGCAGTCCACCTAAAAGGAAGTAGTAGCTCTCATATGAATTTATAGCTGTGCTCATCGGGCTGAAGAATGTTCTTACCTAGAAGGACCTGCACAGTTTTTCCCATTGCCACTTGTTCTTGCAGCAAAAGAATATGTCCACTGCTAGCACTAGCCTAGGAAGTGGTAAGAACACAAGCCCCACTATACTATCAAATGATACAACCTACTTATTGAGAAGATACCAGACTCAAAATAAATTTAATTCTGGACTCACTTTGAGAAAAAGGTAGAGTAGATCAGTTAATAATTTGAGCTCTGGAATCAGACAGACTGGGAACTAAATCCTAGCTTTATTACTCACTTGCTACTGCTCATATGAGCTGGGTCACATTCCTTACAACTTCTCTTTCCTCATTTGTGAAATAAGGATAATAATAGTATCTATCTCATGGGGTTGTTGTGAGACTTAAGTGAGAAAATGTATGTAAATTGCTTAGCAAAGTGCCAGGTACATAACAAAGGCTCAATAAGTGTTAACAAAAAGTTACTACCAGGAAGTTTAGGGATCAGGGGTGGAAGAGGCACATTTTCCTTCACCAAGGAAAGGAGTCATATAGGGTTACTTTTTAGAGAAAATATACATTTAAGGATTGTTTTACAGCTTCATCTTGGAAGTAATGAAGCTTATAGAAACATAAGATAAAACAATTTTGAGTTCCTGCAACTGAAAGAGAAATAAAGTTTGAATGATAATACCTCCACATTACAAAATACAGGAACCCAAGTTATTGAATGTTGAATGCATATATGTAAAAAATGGTATTAAAGAAAACCAATTTTTATATGATACCACTATGATGCATTTTTTTCCTTAAAGTAGTTAATCATATAATTTAAGAGATTCTGGACTTGAAGTGACCACTCTTTTTTTTTTTTTTTTTTTAAGGATACACACATGATATAGGAAAATTAAAAACTGAGTAGTGGTCAACACCACTTTGAATGAGCTATTGCTAAAGGAGAAATACTCCTTTGGGCTGTAAGATTTGTTTGAGAGCAAAGAATCTGGCCATTTTATCTGGGGTCAACTTATTGTTATAAACACGATAGCTCTGCTCTATGTTAGGGTTAGGGTTATAGTTAGGGTTAGAGTCTTTTTAGCATCTCCAGACCACAGGGACAGTCCCAGAGACTCATTCATGGAGAAACCTCATGCTTGGAGTTTGTCAAGGGCTTGTAGGTAAGTGAAAATATGAAAAGGAAAGGGGATAAGGAGGAACAGGGAAAAGGTTTAGAGGTAGAACTAGGAATTTAAGAAACACTTTTTATTCACAGTTCACATAACTTACTGCTATTATTTGGAGTCTGATCCCACCT